GAGATGGGATCTATGCTCTTCCAGCTCTTTCCATGAGCCTAGTAAGAGACACGATTGAGAAATTGGCTGATTACTCAGATCTTGGTCTGACAGAGCTTGAGGACATGTTGAGAGGTTGGTCAACGGAATTTGCAAGATTGCCAAAAATGGCTGAAATGCCCAAGTTCATCCTGTTATCTAGGAGGGCTTAACCAGAATGCATACTGTCTCTCTTCTGGCTTATATGCCTGGCTTACCCCATCTAATGATGGATTAAGGATGTCTCACCAGTTTGACTTTCAGCTCCAATGTTCCCGGGGATGATCCTAAGGGACCAGGAAGGCATAACCTATTTTTATGCTTAAGGCCTGCTATCCAGGAGGGCATATTGTCTCTCTTCTCTTAATGGTGCCAACCTGAGACTGCATTTCATTTCTAGGACCAGGAACCTGCAGTGACTGGTCCCTAGAGAAAACGCCTAAGGAAGGCCTGATCAGTTAGCCATCCTGACTTTAGAAGCAAGAGCTTGACCTGTGGCAACTTTAAAATATGTTGGAAATGCTCTTGCTCTATCTGGCAGCCCACAGGGCCAGTAAAAGTATACTCTAGAGAAAGTCCCATCATTCTTCAGTCAATTCCCCTCCCAGCGAAGAGCTAGATTAAAGGGTAAGGGCTAATATGCTTTTAAAAGGAAAGCAAAAGAACGATTTCCCCCTTCTAATATAAGTTGTCAATGACCCCAGCAGACATTCTAGCAAAATAACATCCATGGTTCTTCTCTCATTACTCTTCCTGCATAGGCTAATATTTATTAAGAACAATCTAATAATAATAGGTGGTATTTATTAAGCATTGTTCTATGTGCCTTACATCAATTAACTCAGTTAATTTTCATTTCAATCCATTAGGTAGGAACTATTACTGTCTCCAGTTTACAAATATTGAAATTGGGGAGCAAGAAATTAAATAATTTGCCCAACACTATACAGCTAGCAACCTGCAGCTCCAGGATTAGAACCCAGGTCATCAGGGTCCAGAATCCTCACTCTGAACACAAATTTGTGATGGAGAGAGTAACAGCCTCTGGGAATCCATGGCTAAAGAGGCTGGAGCTATTCTAGAACAACTAGTCATCTCCTCAAAATAACAGCACCACTCTGACATTCAAATAAGAATGATGGAATTTGGAGTTTGATATTAGAACCATGTTATGCAGTAGTTATGATCTGTTCAACAAACAGAAAGGAAGAAGGATCTCTCTCCTGCTGTGCAAGAGACCTTCACATCTCTGCATCAGATATTCTAGCCTCATTGGAAAATCTTATTCTTCCCTATCACAGCGCATATGCTTTCTTATCTAGGAGACACACATGGATACCATCTGATTTCTATGCCCAAAAGCTTCCCTCAAGAATGAAACAAGCCGGGCTCGGTAGCTCAACCTGTAATCCCACGCCTTTGGGAGGCTGAGGTGAGTGGATTGCCTGAGCCCACGGGTTCGAGACCCGCCTGGGCAACTTGGCAAGACCTCATCTCTACAATAAATCAAAAATTAGCCGGGCGTGGTAGCGCGTGCCTGTAGTTCCAGGTACTTGGAAGGTTGAGGTGGAAGGATCGCCGGAGCCCAGCAGGTCGAGGCTGCGGTGGCCAGGAACGGCCACTGCACTCCAGTCTGGGTGACAGAGTGAGACTCCAACTCAAAAAAAAAAAAAAAAAAGAATTAAACAAAACATCAGTTTTGTTTGAGACTCAATATTTCCTCAAAAGCATTTCTGATATTCTCTGTAAGTTTCTTCTCCCTCTGCCCTTCTGGATAGTAGAGAAATTTGGGGATGACTCTCAATGTATGTTTCACCAGTTTTCTGTGAACTTGATTTAGTCACTATAAGAGGTCCTGAATTTTCCAGAGAAAATTGCCACTAGATACAAAAGGGGGAGGGACAAGAATGAATTCCCACTGGGACCATACAGAACCTTACAAGTATCCATGAAACCACCATTTTGCTTAATAACTAAACACAAAGCTCCCAGAATGCTCTGAGGCAGCAGTGTGTGACCATTCTCTTTTCCCCACCAAAGGGTCACAAATCAGAATACTACATTCCTGTCAGAATGACTGGTTACTGTTTCCCCAAGTACAGGTTCATGTGCAATAACTGACCCCAGAGAAACAGAATGGCACAGTGTAAGAGCTTGTCACATTAAATGATCAGAAAACCATTACCAACTGATAGAACAGTTGATGGTGCAGAAGTGATTATAGACACTCCCCGTGGGCCAGCTCTGAGCTGCCCGCGTAGGCGCTAAGTGGCTGCCAGGCTATCCGAACTTGGGACAGGAGCTTGATGAAAAGAAAAATCTATTGAGGGGAGAAGGAAACCGATGGTTTATTCCTGCTAATTCCTATAGCTCTTTGAAGTGAACAGTGATATTAGGATTCCCAATCTGACTTCAATTCCAATACACCTTTAAAAAATTATTTTTGGCAATAACAGCACTTTTGTAAGATGTGGGATAAACTGAAAAGTCTAAAGTAAATTAAGTCTTATTTTACTGAACTGGAGGGATTCTCTGCTTGAACACTTTCTACAGTGGATTTTCTGATTCTTTTTTCAAGATATAAAAAAAAATCTTTGATAAAGAGAAAGATGACCCTGGATTTGCCTTATAGAAAATGTGTGGAGGCAGATGTCTAGATTCTTATTCAGTAAGTCCTCCTCTACATGTGAGTCTTCAAGTTGAGAACTTTCAAAGATGTGAATGTGTGTTCTCATGTCTAATCACATAAGCCAGTTCACATGTCTGATGTACATTGTCATTTGTGTTTATCCGCTACAAGTGGTTGTGCTTTTGTGTATTTTACTGTGAGTACAGGATCTTTATTTCAAGCCCAGGATGTCCGAAAGCAAGCATGTACTTTTCAAGGTGCTATACTGTAAGATTAAAAATATATATATTTTTATTTTTTGTGGGTTTTTTAAATGCATTATTTGTATGAAAAGTGTTATAACCTGGTACAGTGCAGTATTATATAGCCGATTGTGTTAGTTGGGTACCTAGGCTAACTTTGTTGGACTTACAAACAAATTCAGCTTAAAAACGAACACACTCTCAGATGGGAACTCATTCATACGTAGGGGACTGGTAACACAAATAATACATAAAAAATGCTTGTTCACATCTTTGAATGTTTACAACTTAACGGTGCATATGTAGGGGACTTGCTGTATTTGCTGATAGCTAATCCTCTGCTCTGCAACTCTTCTACTCACATGCCTTTCCCTGAGTTGGTGTTGACTCAGTCACTCTGAGCCTGAGTCAGCTTCTCTCTGCCTCAGTGATTCTATGTGAGTTTCTACCGTCTTTGGAAGACGGCAAGGACCATAGCCACCAAGCAGGGAGTGTGAACTGTAATCTCTTCCAGGATGAGACTGGGTCTAAGCACAGTGGGAGAGAAATGGTCTGAAAGAACAGCTAAGCAGGTTACTCCTGAGAACAGAATTTTGTTTCTATATACCTCTAGGCCCAAGAAGTACCAGCCCTTCAAATATCTGATCTTGCACCTTTGTCTGCATCCAAGTGTGGGAATTGTGAACCAGGTGGACAGCCTCTATAAGTGACCCCTGTCTGACCATTTGGAAATCTTTGAGAACTGTACTGAATACTCCTAAAACCTTATTTCTGAGACTCCCTATGAACTGAAGCAGTTTGCATACTTACTGCAGACATTAAAAAACTCCCAGAAAAAGGAAAATGTCGCTAAAGATATTTCAGAACTTAGACTCTGGAGTCTAACCTTTTGGGAGCTAATCCTGTCTCCACCATTTACTATTTTTCTGTCCTTCAGCAAGTTGCTTAACTTCTCTGAGCCTCAATTTCCTCATCTGTAAAAAGGGGAGAATAATTGAATTTCCAATATATGGTTGAAACTATTTTACATAAGGCATGCAAAGTTGTAAATCTAGCAAGAGGTCTAAAAACATTAATATGTTCAGATGACTAGAAATGCATACACCAAAATGTTAACAATAGCAAACTCTAGATGCTAAAAGAATCGGTGATTTTATATTTTTGTTTCCCTTTGTGGTTTTTTTACCTTTTTCTCTCTTTCTCTTTTTCTATTAGAAACTAGTTTGTAATTAGAAAATGGATGTCTTTGAACAAAGAAAAAATATCAGCAAAGCTCCCAGGGTTATTTAAAGATGCAAGGATGATGAGGGGAAAAACAGAAAAAGACAGGACAAGGGGGCAGGTGGGCAGAGAGACCAAGGGGACGTCTGAGTGCAGAGAAGCACTGTGGAAGCCTTGAGGCTTGCAGGGTTGTCCAAGATGAGAACTAGGATGAACACTCTGCTTTTGAAGGGCTGGTTCAGTGGAGGCAGAGAACAAGCACCTGGCTTATCCCATTTAAGGACAAATTAGGCAGGTCTCAGGAGTTTGACTTTCAGTTCTGAGGTTCCTGAGGATGGGCCTAAGGGGCCAGGAAGGTGTAACCTACTTTCATGCCCAAGGCCTGCTGAGCCTGTGGTGTTGACAAGCTTGACCACAGCTTGTTCCTGACCCTGCATGCCTCCCCAGGCCCCTCAGGAAAGAGTTGGAGCTGCCCTTCCTTCGTTTGCATGTCTAAGTAATTATAAATCATAAAATTATCTAACCCATTAGTTAAAACTTGGCCCCAGCATTTGACTCTGACCTCCCACGGCAGCCTGGGCCACATGCTGACTCTATGCTGCCTGATTTGTCCTCAATTTATAAGCAGCACTACCTATAAATAGAAACCCTTTTGCTAAGTTCCCCAGGAGGCATCAGCAGGTTTTCCAGCTTGTGTGTTTTCTTCGTTCTTTTTAAAAAACCAACATGGTAGGCTTATTTTCCCTGCCTGGTGCCCCCCAGCTCTCACCTCCAGCTCTGTTTGAGGGCATACCAGCCTGTTGAGCGGGCGAAGCCCTTACACAGTTGGGGTCTGTGCAGGCTGGGTTCCCAGGGAAGCTCCTTCCTCAGTGGAGGCAGTTGCCACTCACCTGTAGATCCTGTACCTGGTGGTGAAACCCTGGCGGTAGCGCTCCATAAAGTCAGCATATTCCTGAGCGCGGTGGAAGGGGCCCCGGTCCGTGAGCAGCCAGTCCAGGGGGGGCTGGCCAGCTGGGGAGGCATGCTGCTCGTGGGCCACAGCGGCTGCCGTGGCTGAGATGGCCAACACCCAGCCGGGCAGGCCTAGTGCCAGCAGGGTTGTCCATGGGGCTGCCGCCGGCCGAAGCCCTCTAAGCCAAGTGCCACACTGCCACCTCATGCTTCTCCCGGGCGGTTGGTGTCTTCATTCTCTCGCCACGCTCTCCCCCTCTGTGCCGCTCCTCCAGGGCTTGGAGCTGGAAAAGGACAAAAGGCAACGTCATTTGGGCACCCTGATCTCACCCCGTAGGCCTGGGAGCATCAAACGAAACTGGGTAAGGCCCGTTCTATCACAGTGTGGTTCTAGGCATCTGCTAAGTGCTTGACATAGATCATTTCACTCAACCCTTAAGACAAACCTATGAGGAAACACTGTTGCCATCATTTTACAGATGGGCAGATGAGGTGGAGAAAGGTTAAGAAAGTGGCTTAAGTCCACACAGTTCTGAGGTGGCAAAACCAGAAACTGAACTCAAGAGTCTGATTCTTTTCCATTATGTGATGTTACTTCCAAGTCCTTCTTGGACTCAGTAAACACAATCCTTTTCTTTCTCTCTCAGAAATGTTCATTTTGTTTCCATAATTGCCTCAGACGGTGTGCTGCCTCTAGAAGCCCAACATAAGAGAAGCAGACCTATTTTTCAGGTGGAGAATTGTGAGGCAGAAAGGTAGTGAAGTTCCATTGCTGCTATGAAGCTGGGTGACCTTGGGCAAATCACTTCCCAAGTGTAGCCTCTAAAAATAAAAAGGCTTGATGAGTTAATGTCTAAGACTGCTTATTGAAAAGATCTGTTCTTTTAGTGAAGGCCATGCAGGGATCGAGATAAAATGGGGAACTCAGATTGCATATGGCATCGTCAGGGCGGATAGGGCACACTAGTTTCTCCATCCAATGTGCTCTCTTTCACCAGGCAGTAAGACAGGGCTGGACCTCACTGTCGTATGCTTCTACCCCAGTTCCTAAGTGCACAGAACAGACCCTCAGACACCCTTCTGGAAGGAATAAATGAGTACATGCCCTGCCCTCTCTGAGCTGGAGGGAAGATGCCAGGAAAACAATAAGATTCTGGCCTTCAAAATTCTTGGTTGCCTGGAGAGTCAACATAGGCCTCTGATTCTCAGTGGCTGCCCTTTGTCCAAAGAAAGCCAGTCACCTTTATAAATTTCTGGGCAGATGCAAGAGACCATTCAGTATCATGGGCCTTCTTGGAGTTGTGATCATTTATCTAACCTTTAATTTCTAGCCACAGGCTGTCAGAATCTGCCCATCTCCCCTTGCCAGCACCCCTTCAGTGCACGCCAGAATGAGCTTCAGCCCCAAGAACCTGTAATCCATGGCTTGAGAGCTTTCTCTGCCTGCCAATGCCTAGAGATAGGCTCCCTGGGGGCAAGGCAATGGTTGTTAATTCCCTGGCACTCCTGGACTCCGGTAAGGACAGGCAATGTGGGCTTCAACACTTGATTCATGCTCTGGGTAGGCTCCAGTTCTCGAAACTACCAGACTTCCCTTGAATCAATGTGGATTTGCACAGAGGCTGGAACCACGCATTCACTCAGCACACTCCCAGCCTAAAGTCTGGCCTGAGTCTGAGTCTGTACCTTCGCATTCACACAGGATGTCTTCAGAAGAGTTGCAATCCCTGTCTGGAAGGATGGAGAACAGAGTACAAGTGGCTGGGTGTTCAAAGTCACTCCTCCACTCCAGTTGGTGTGTCTCAACCACCTACCATGTGCTAGGTGACTCTTAAAAGCTGCCTCAGTTCTCAAAGGAAATTTGTCATATAGGCATTATTATTATAAGTCTACATTTTACTGGCACTCAGAAGAGTTGAGTTAGGAAAAAGGCAGGGGCAGAATATGAGCCTAAGTCCGACTCCATGTCCAGACTTTTTCAAAATATGCTCCATGTCCAGACTTTTTCAAAAGAGCTCGAGCAAGCAGTGAGACGGACCCTCGCTTAATGAACTAGTAGAAGGAGGGGCTGAGAGAAGAATAATGAGACAGCTCTTGCCCTACCAGATATTAAAACATGATAAAATTCCAATAATTAAAATAGGTGATACTGGCACACAAATTGGACAGCAGATCAATGAAGTAGAATAGATAGCTCAGAAATAAACCTTATTATATATAAGAACTTAGTATATTAAAAAAAGCATCACAGACTAATTGCATGGGGATGGACTATTTTATACGTAACATTGGAAAATTAGTTACAGTTGGATTAAAAAGTTAAGTATAAAAATAAAATCATAAGAAAGAAGAAAAAAAATCCCCAAGTGTTTTTATAATATGCATGCATTACCAGCAAAAAAAAAAAAAAGATCTGAAACTGAAAAGAGGAATCAGTCTTGCTCACCGGGAGGGGTAGGCATTTTTTATATGGATGCAATCTGATGGGGATGCCCAAAATATTTTTCATTTAATCAGGCACATACTCATGTATTGAAGAAACATAAATTGAGGACTCTTAAGTGCCAGGCACTACACTAAGCATTGACAATGCAAAAGCAAGTGCTCATTACATTACCTGAAACTCCACCATGAGTGATTAATTCCTCTTATAAAATACTGCTCTATTTCTTTAAAAGGTGTATTGACAAAGAGGAAGAGAGAATGTTCATTTTGGAGGCCACAGCCACCTGACACAGGAGGCCAAGGCAGCAAACACAGCAAAGTGGTGATGCACAAACACAGGTGGGAAGATGTCGTGAAAAGCAGGCTTCTCAGATGGGGGTCCCCAAGATTCCCATATCCTCTGTGCATGCCCTACATGACCCCCTCCTCTTGAGTGTTGGCAGGATCTGTGACTGTAATATCACTCCCACGCTCTGGTCATGAATCAGTTGACTTTGAATTAATATCCAATGAATGCAGAATGCATTGCAAGTCCAAATGGCAGATAACAATCTAGATTCCGGTGGTGGCACTGAGGACAAAGACTTTTGCATAACTTTGAGCAATATCCTGGGTGGGCCAGACCTAATTAAGTTAGCCTTTAGAGGAAAGTGAAGTGTCAGAGATGAGCTTAAATGGCCAGTGAGAGAGAAAACAGCCATACTATGAACTGCCTATGGGCCCATGTGGCCAAGCGGACTCTGGGAGTTGAGAGTTGTCTTCAGTCAGCTGCTAGCAAGAATATGGAAACCTTAGTCATAGAACCTCAAGGAAACATTCTGCCAACAACCATGTGACCTTGGAAGAGGACCCTGAGTCCTGAGTGAAAACTGCTTCCCTGGCCAGCGCCTGGATTTCTAACCCTGAGCAGGGGACCCAGTTAACCTGAACCCACACATCTGAGCCACAAAAACTATGAAATGGCACATTCATATGTTTTATACCATCAAGTTTGTGGTGATTTGTTACACAGCAATAGAAAAACAATGCAGGCACATAACATCAAAGACAACTATAGGCTTTCCCATTCTGAATAACGCCTGACCTGGTGGGATTCTTCATGCTCCCTGAAGAAAAACCACTGTTCTGCATTTGAGAAGAAGCTAGCATGGCAGTTTCTCGAGCAGAGTAATACTGATCATCCCCCTAACTCAACTGAGTCACACACACCCTGCCTGTCTGGTTTATGAACTGCTCAAGGTCAGAGGTCTTTTTTAATCTTTTGTAATCTCAAGACACACACATAGTTGGTCCTCAAAAACATTTTTTTTCTGAGACAAAGTCTTGCCCTGCAACTCAGGCTGGAGTGCAGAGGCGCAATCATAGCTCACCACAGCCTCGAACCCCTAGGCTCAAGCAATCCTTCCACCTAAGCCCTGCAAAGCATTGAGATTACAGTCTTGCACCACCACTCCCAGCCCCTCAAAAACATTTGATGAGCCAAATCTATGTATCTCATCAGGGAGTCACTGTGAGCTAGTGACAACACGTAGCCTTGGCCCAGCTACTTAACCTCCTGGTGTGCTGGCCTCTTGTGTTGTATATGGCAGTATAGCCATCACCTCAATCACCAGCTGAGGGTTTTCTAAGGACAGGTGAGCTCACACATGTGAAAAACTATGGGCTCTTTGAAAGAAGCAAGCTATATTAAGTCAACGTGTGCTTCTTGTCACTCTTTGTTTATAATTATGCTTTTTCAGAGCTCACAACATGCGAGAACCTGCCTGGTTATAGGAATATCGGCTTTAGATTCAGTTTTGATTGCCGGGCCGAGTCTGCTGAGCGCAGCAAGAACTCCGGCATTCAGTGCTGACGGTTCCTCTGCAAAACCTGGCCTTGGAATCATATGGTTTCCGCTTCGTTGGTTTTTCTCAGGATCTGAAGACATTTTGACTAAAAAATCTCTTTTTATGAAAGAGAAGTTTTAAACAGATTTCAAAACTTTTTTTCAAAAATATTCCTAGAACGTTTTCCTTCACCTTTTAAAAAAGGACAAAATTATTACTGCATTGACAGTTGTGCAAAAATCAGGCTTTTTAAGGAGAACAGCTTTTGGCTATCTCCTGTTTATGCTCCACAAATAATATCTTTAGAAATTTGGTAACAGCAACCTGTCAAGCAAATGTTAACTGTCTAAATGCTCACAACTTCTGGGTTCTGCTAATTTGTGGTGGGATAAAACAGCACCTTCCCCATTCTGCTCCCATCAATCCTAGTCCTGAGCTGACTGTGTAAGTAAGCCTCTATGTTATACAGTAGTATATTAAAGTAATGGCTAAGCTGGCTCCTTGATGAAAAAAATTATAAATCTACCTGTGAAAGCCAAATAATTTCACTTACTTAGATCATACTCAAGACAGTTTTACACCTAAACAAATAATAAATTAGCTTTGCACCAAAGGTACAGGTAGAGCAAGTCATGAGTTTTTCTTTGCCGAGTGCATTAGGTCAAATCTGTTCTTTAAGCTATGAATTAAATGGGTCACAGTCTTGTCAATGGAGAAATTCAAGTATAGATGAGGTCACATGAGAAGTTGGCATGCGAACTTCAAATGGTAGGGATTTGAAGAGTAGTCCTGTCTCCACCACTCTGAGGTTGTTATTCAGGTGTGGACGTTTTTGGGATTTATTTGCATCCTCCTAATGTTTTCAGTATCCATTTATGCTAAGTGTGACAAAAGTCAGAACAATTAGGAGTTGAGGATCAGCCACTAGTGCACTAAATCTTGGCAAGTGAGGCAGACATAGAGGTTTCTTCATTAAAATTGGTCCCAGAGGATATGTGTCTTGGAGGAGTTAA